GGGCAAGAGGCAACGTTATATACGCTTACAATCCCCTTCAGGCCACTGTGGCATTTGTGACTGTGTTGTCCAGTTTGTGCACTCCACTGCGTTGCTGTAGCAACTTGGTAGTGGGATAAAGAAACTCTCCTAGCGGTTCTTTATCTGCTATCTGTCAGAGCCCAGGGTAAGTAGGCGTCGTACCAAAGGGACTTCCATTACATTTGGGCTTTCTGGACGGTCAGCACTGGGGATTCGCTCATTAGCTCGATGTCCTTCACTTCAAACTCCTCCACATACGGTGGAGATGGGGGATTCACAACATGTTTCCTTTTACGATGCCTCAAATAGGTTAGTGATCAAGACTTTAATCAGGGCCGAATTTCTTATCGCTTTACAGATGGGTCCAGCTTTCCTTATTCTGCCCTAGCTATAGCTCTGACCAAGAATCCGAGAATACAGGGCTAGCGGAGACTGTGGATCGCAAGGGGTTTCATGGCACCATACTCAACCAAGGGGAATTATCCCGCAAGGGTAGAGAGGGACGGGGATATACCAAGCGCCCATACCCCGCTTCGGGTACCATAGTTCGGGATTTATGCTCACCCATTGCCGCTCAAAGCAGCCATCGTCCTCTGCATCCGTCGTCGATTAATCCTTCCGGCAACTCACTGTGATATATCCGTCGCCCATGATCCCCTGCATTTCCAGCCCAGTGAGGTGACGCACTCCGTTCCTGCCTCACACAAGGTCATTTATAGTAGGTAGCCGGAGTGGCGAATAATACCGGTGCACTAGATCCGATGGCAGGCGTCCAATTCTGCACACCATTCGTTGGCTGCCCCCATTTGAACCACTTGGAAATAGCACCCCTAGGGCCAACGGGCGGGGGGGTTGTGCCGCTTCTCAGAACGGGAAAAACAGGTACCGGTGCTGCAAAGTTTGCCGGGTTGTGTCTCTTGCACTGGATGTCGGAGACTTTGCCGGTCTGTGGGTCGTGGTACTATACACTTCCCATGAATCCACATGTGTTAAGTCAAAGTCTCTTATTCAGCAGTCGATCATTTCCCATTATGGTAGTAAACATACAACCAAGAGTAGTAAATAGGGCTACGGTACTGATTATCTGGATGGTCAGTCCACTATATCATCAGGTGCGGCAGTTTGCCCACTATGGCAAACTCCAGCTACCCCTGGCCGCCCCCAACTACAGAGTCTATTTCTCCAGGGATTCTTGGCTAAACGAACCACTACTACCACAAAAAGCAGGTAGGTTCCTGCCCTGTAATCAAGTACAGTACTCTGCCCACTGGACATCCTTGTACAGTTTTGGCAACCATGTGAATGCCCCCCCCCTAGTTCCCCACCACAAGATTCATATTTTCGATTAGCTATCGGGAGTAACAGTGATAAACCCCGTCTTTGATAATATGAGGGAATCTGTGGGAATTCCGGCATTGCGAAATTTTCAATTTTTATCCACGGTCCCAAAGGATGATACTGAGAAATGAGTCTGGCCCAAGTCGTCTCGGTGGCAAAGACCATACAAATTGGCCATCCTGGAGGGCAATTTTGATTTCAGCCTCAAACTCAGATGCCGAGCCTTCCCAGCATAATTCCTGGGGACTGATAATGAAGCGAGTCACCGGTATGGGAATCTTTAAGAACCCCTACCGGAAAAGGAAAACTTTGGATCGAAGTTGAAGAATTTTCGAACCATTCTCATCTTTCGTTGCCAGACAGGTGCGTGCTTCTACAGTACCGAAAATTGGTGCTCTGCATATAAAACT